GGGCATTTTGGAGAAGTAAGATCTGTGGCTATCAAATGCAGAAAAAAAATCAAAAATTCATCGACTATCTTCGGAGACACACTGAGTTTTATAAAAAAAAATGTCAAAAATGTCAACAAAAATTCACTTTTTTATTTTATTTCTCGAAAACTACGCTACCGCCAGATAAGTGTGATACATTTTCTGAAAGGTCTCGGCAATACCTTTTCAACAAGCCCTAATCAAAAATAATCCGACGAGTATTTCCAAAGTTACGCTAATTTACATGACTCCCGCTCGAAACCCAAACAAAATTTTTTCAAACGGCTGCCATTTCTCAGGGAAGCGATTTTCGACAAAAACTCAAATGGATGTTTCGTCTTAGAATTGTCCAAGGAATACGCCCCTGAAGTTAAGCTACTCATCACTGGACCACCCTGTATATGTATGTACATACGCGTATCGTCTATGTCGTGCACGACTTTTCTACGACGCAACAATAGCTGATATCGAGTTGGGGCACATTGTGTATCCGCCAAACAGAGTACCGCTATCGCAGAATTTTCAGCCGTGGCATCGAAATTCGAGTAACTATCGCATAATCTATCCGACTTACCATAGTAACATCGAATGCGGTGTGACCAGCTATTATACCGATAACACAAATAGGCTGATCCCCAATGGCGAAACTTCGTCGCCGGGCCAGTGGCCGTGGATAGTTGCAGTCTACCATATTCGAAACCAAATGTATAAGACAGTATACGAATTTCGGTGTGGTGGCTCTATTTTGACAAATAGGCACATATTAACAGGTATGTTAGTAAAAAGAATCAATATTACTAGCAAGTATAATTCCGGATAGATGGTGCAGATTATTGAAAAATGTAATTCATACGTATATGTTCTTTTTATAGCTGGGCGTTTTGTAATGTATAACTCTAATAGGACTATACCAGCCAAGGTATTGGAGGTAATTGTAGGGCACATTGACCTGAGCAAGATTCGCAGAGATGGTATTGCCAATCCGGAGGTTGCGGGCTACATTATCCATCCCGACTTCGTGTATAAGGACAATAGCGCCAGCTTCGATGTGGCTGTTTTGACTCTCAAGAAACCCATCGAGTTCAACCCTTTAATTAAACCTATTTGCTTATGGTACGGTTCGAACGTTCTCGACGATATCGTCCAGGAGACTGGATACGTCGTGGGATGGGGAGAAGACATGTCGGGTCGCCGTAATGTTCGGGAACAACGGATAGTGAAAGTGAAGATAGTGAGCCAAGTAAGCACACTGAGAACCGGCTTTTCCACTTTCTTTGTTCGATCAATATAGAAATTAAACTTCAATCACAAACGAGGTTTCCTAAAACACGGCGTCCCACATGTATTTGGTGGTACGTCGGTGACAACGTTTCCGATATAACACAATTTCGCACAGTAGCAAGACTTTAACTATGTATAAAAAATGTTTATGTATTCCGCGCTATCGATGTATAATAGAATCTCATTGCGTGAATGGATCCATATTGTTGCACAAATTACAGGAGACCTGTCTCTGGCGGAATAAAGCATACCTTGGTATCACTTCGGAGCGCACCTTTTGCGCCGGTGGGCTAGAAGTCGGTCCTTGCAACGGTGACAAAGGGAGCGGGATAGTGCTCTATAACAATATCACAGGCCGTTATCACTTACGCGGCCTTCTTGCATCGACTTTGCGTCCTACAGATAACTCTTCGCTTTGCGATGATAGGGCATTCACTGTCTACGTTGATACATATAACCAAATACGTACCCTGGATTCATCAACAGATTTCGACGTATCGCTGATCTCTCGCCGCTAAATACAATACGTGCTGTAGACAAGTATTTTTAAGTGAAGTTTATTCGTAACTAGCATTTATGGACAATTGCACCGAAGACAGTTATGAATTTTACTTTCGATTCTTTACGGCTAGTTCTCCTCTTGTAATGCGGCAACTTTGATATTAAGGCAGAATACATCAGTAACATACGCTGCGCTGTAACTAACTGCCAAAGTAGACTTATAAATAATGAAGAATAAAATTACGATACATGTTACAATATGCGTACCAATACGTACGTTCAATATTTTTCGAAACTCGGTAAAAAACACATGTATTAATAAATATTATTTTTTTTAATACGCACGTCTCGTTACTTTTTAAATGTTGTACATCGTAATAAAATAAGACAAAGACAAACAAAAGAGAGGCAGAAGAACTGGAATCACAGTGTGTGAACAGCGCTTCGTGATCTCGTTTTAATGCTTACGTTGGCAATCATGTCGTTTTCTATCGCGAAATCACTTCGTATCAACAAACATACGTATGCTAAATATGTTCAGTGACCACAGTTATTATTTTTGCAATACAAAAATCTATCTATTTGCAATACAAAGTTCTATTTTATAGTCTTTGAAAACTTATTACCGGTCTTTTTTTGTTATTAAGTGCGATTTAACTAAAATCCCAATAAAATCAAGTAAAAATAAAATAAAATTTTTCTCGTGGAGAATTTTTAATATTAGAACGAAATGTTTGAATCTAGGGTAAGCTTATTAGAATAGAAAATATATAGTTAAAATTTGTGGGAGGTTTGGCGAGCATTGGAAAATATTTAGTGGATACGCATGTCATGAGAAAATACGCCAATAATCTTCGGTTAATTGCATTGTTGACGTGCGTCCGCCGAAGTTATTTTTACGAAATCATCCAATAAGAGGAAATCATATAATATACGGAAAGTTTTAGACATTTTATCCTTTCTTTTCCTTATTGCATTCAGGATGCTGCCTTATAAACTAAATGACATCATTGCATTGGATTGACTCATTATTGCTTGCCTCTCGATACCCCACTACCGCACCAGTCAAACGCGACTACACACCGAAACTATAAACAAGTTTCGAAGCGTTCGGATAGAGAACTGGTTAGTCTTGTGACGATACAGTGAAGGCGTAGCAACGTCAATCCAAGAATTTGTATTCTGAATAGGTGGAACACTATACGATATATCGTAGTGAAATTTAATGTTATCGTAATGAAACTTTAATGTATACATTACGAAGTATACTTTGGAATATTTCTCAAGGGTGTCTAAAAAAAGTGGTTCAGAAAGAAATAAGTACAAATATAATAAGTGTTAAATAAGTAAGCAAGATGTGAAAGAGAATATATTGAAGTGTAACTCGAAACGTGCTTGAAGTATATTGTAGGAAAGTATCGATAAGAAAACGCAGTATAGTACTTTAAAACAGCGAAAGATATAAGGGAATACTATTATTATGACAGCAAAAAGATGTAATAAAATGAAACCTAACAAATAAAAACAGATAGTTGTACGCGAGAGTCTTGGCGATTCTCGTTACTCAGAGTGTAAAGTTCGTTACGTAAAACGACGACTATACTAACCGCAACGGGTTTTGCAATTGTTGAATAATCATCGTGCAAGATGTATATGTGTTCCTAGACCAGGAAAAATAGATTCATGGGTATGTGCCTATTATCTGTACTGAAGTGTTGTTTTTAAATGTCAACGACTACAGAAGTGAGTGATTAAAATGATTTTTCCGAAACACGTGTCTTTAAAATTTTTGAGATTTGCTGTTTAATCGCGGATACATGTTGTCCCTATAATTCACATTCGCTATTGTGTTTATATGCAATATTTCGCATTACAATAATATCCCAAACTCTGTTTAGTAATATAATGTATCCTCCGTTTCGTTTAAAAATCTTTGAAATGCCAAATGGAAAATAAATTAAGTTGCACATGTGAAATTATCTCAGCTAATCTACTTGTGATATGTTAAACATAGGTCATAGGTGAAACCAGTGTTGCCAGATGGCCTCAATGTAAATCCCCCAAGCCAGCCTATATTTCCCCCCAGATTAGTAAAAAACCCCTAAATGAAAAACTATATAAAATTACAAAGTATAATTAATTGTACAAATTGGCATGCAAAATAAATCCTACAAAAATATATTGTAAGTATAAAGTTAAAAGTTTATAAAATTATTTTATTCGAACAATACATAATTATTTAGATTATTAGATACTTTATATTAAGAACTATATATAAACGCATTTTTAATATTTTATAACTATATACATATATTATTTATTATCAACTGTTTTATTATGTGAAACGCAATTTTTCGTAACATTATATATATATTATATCTTTTTTAAATATTAGTAGACTAATTAATATTCTGTGAATACATCTAGTATTTCTTCTACAAATTTCGAAATGTACATAGATTCCGAATTAAATTTTTTCAACATATCTTTGGTAGCCCGGGAAAAAATTTTCACATATGATCATATACAATCATATATGCTCATATACGAAAAATGTCCATATATAAGATACCATATGTATCATATATGATCGTATATGATAATGTGTTTGTTATATATGACAGTATATATGACAAACATGTGCATCATATATGATCGTATATGATAATGTATTTGTCATATATACTGTCATATATGACAAACACATTATCATAAACGATCATATATGATACATATGGTATCTTATATATGGACATTTTTCGTATATGAGCATATATGATTATATATGATCAT